TTTAAATTTCAACAAAAATGTAATATTAGAAAAAATAAATGCAGTAATATATTACGAATGAAATACAAAAATGTTTTATATATCATGAATAAAATCCTCGTATATTTTCTGTTCTTTGTTTTATGTTCACATATTTTTATATATTTTGTCCAATACAATATTTACGGGTTAAATATTCTAAAGTTCAACGGCCGGTAAATGGGATTGTCTAATCCCATTTTGCGTACATCAATAAATCTGATTCCATATGTATAAAGGCATTATTTTCAAACAAATATAATAAAATAGGTAGAAGAAAAGATGATCAAATATTATCATTATCCTTACTATATATTTTTATGGTCAGACTACATAAGGAGTTTAAGTCTTGGACTGACAAACTTTAAGTGTCAACGTAAGTTTAGGAATGAAAGTGCAAATTGAGGAAAAGAGACATTTAATTTCAATTTAATTTCAACTGTATGTATTTTCAGTATATCTACATATATATCGTAACAAAGTTAATTAATTGTTAAGTGTACTTATTATTAATTTAAACGTAGTGTTTATATTTAGTCTCTTATTTGTAAAAGTTTTCTTTTTTTTTATATAAATAATACTTTGAACATATTGTGATATATAACAAATTTAAAATAAGTATATGAAACAAATACACATCATATAATAAGTATTGTCATAATTAGTGTAATATTATTAAAGCTTAGGTTTTCCTTATATATGTAACTAGAAAGAAAAGATATAAGAAATAAATATTTGTGCTTTCACATTTAAACTAATTTATTGATTATTATTAATTAATTTATTTATAAAAAATATACAAAAATACACGTTCAAAAACAATAGAATAGTCTTATTTGGAAAACACATCACTTGTGTGATTTTTTTAAATATTACGTATATAGAAATGAAGCACTTAATTGAAGGGAATTATTTTACTTGAATTTTTATAGTAATAAACATTAATCGTGTTAACAAGAATGTTTGATTGTTTATCTTTCTTTTAATAGTTTCCTCTGTCAGATATTTAAAATGTTACATTTATCCGTTACATGTATCTGTGAATAATATTGCAATTTACTATCAGTAAGACACAAGCGAGCTTGTTGAATGGCTTGTTTGCATGTCAGATATCATATTTTAAAAACTAATCCGAACGGAGTTATGGTCGAAATACTTCACTTTTAACGTTTGGGGATTTATAGTAAAATCCTCTCTTTAATATTCACACACACTTCTGTTAAACTAGGTATTGTAATCTTAAATTTAATGCATTTTTTTATTATATAAGGTGCGAAAGTACATAATGTGTTCATTATGCAATTTCCCATTTCATGCAATTCTTCCAAGAGCATGAATTGCCTTGGTAAAGCAGAGTGCATATTGGATTCGGACATACTTAATTCTCATCCAATAATACAAAATCTATTAAAATGACAATCCGGTATCTTTAACCTAATTTTATGCAAAACGCTTTCAAAGAATTTGAAATATCATTTGTAATTCGATGTAAAAGTGTGAATCCAGATCGAACACAATCTGTTCGGAATTTCTAATATGGAAGATCCTATAGGCTTATTACAAATTCCTCAGTAAAATTTGATCTTTATACACCTCCAGCGATTCCCAGTCAACCGCATTATAAGATATATTGAACTAAATTATATAGAAGTGCTTACCGTTTTTACATTATCTTTCGTAATAATAATGGACTCCTGTATTTTTAACAGTGAGACGCATCTTTAGCAGCGGTTTAAAGTCTGATTGATGGCCACAAATTGATGGTAACGACTTTAAGCTTTTGATCGGTAAATTGCTGTTAAATGAATGATTCCTTACACCTTTTATATGAATCTATTCGTTTAAAGTGTATGACGTATTTATTTTAGTTATTTTTTATGAATTTATATATAACAATGTGTATTTTGTTTAGTTAGTTAGTGGTGGCCTAGTGGTTAAGGGGCTCGCCTCTCGTTGCCGAGGGCGCGGGTTCAAACCTGGCAAGTACCAATGTGATTTTTCGGAGTCATATGTACTTTCTGAGAGTATTTAGACATCACTGACATACGGTGAAGGAAAACATCGTGAGGAAACCTGGACTTATAGTTTCACAATTGTAAGTTTGAAATCACCAACCCGTCTTGAGCAAGCGTGGTGATTAATGCTCAAACCTACTCCATGTGAGAAAGAGGCGTCTGATAGGCTGATGATGATGTATTTTGTTTTCAGCTAACATCGAGTCTCTGCATGCTCCTACGGGCGGTACAGTGGAATTGCCATGTGACGTAACACCTGCCCTTCCTGATGATAGAATGGGTCTCGTCATCTGGTACAAACAAGGGCACGACACCCCTATATATTCGTAAGTATGAAGTGTGGATTTAATAACTGCCTTCGGCGATTCCATAAATATTTATGAAGGAATTTCTTCCTGTAATATGATTTCTGTATTAAATGAAACTTCCAAAGATGATTCTGAAACTGTATGAAGGTTATGTAGGTATGTTTTTTTATGTTGTTAACAAAATTATTCTTAACTTTTGTTGATTCAGTCGTAATGTTAATAAATAAGCCGAATAATGAACATCTATCAATACTATTTCAATTCAAAGGGAATTTAAAATTATATCCAAACAGAAAATGGATTCCGTACTAGTATGTTTAGTACGTGATGAATCTTTTAAAATATTTGATAATATTATAAACTCAATACAATACATTAAAGTCTTTTGTATTTGTAGAAGCCTTAAAGGATAAATATCTATTGCTATGACATTTTATTCAGGTCATTTCAATAGGATTGGCTTTGGATCAATTGTGATCCAATTCTTACTGATACTTTAAAGAATAAAAATGCTAGTTTGGATGGACTTTTTTCCTTATTTAAAAGAAATATTAGTTCTTTATTATGCCCTCTTACAAACTGTTTCATGTTTAATCTTTATCTTATCTAAAGCTATGAAAAGTAACGATTTGTATATAGATCATATTATTTACATTGGTATTGGCATCTGAAATAGATTTTCAGTTGTAGGAAGAGGCAAAAAGATTTCTCGAGGAAACTGTCTGTTGTTGAAAAAATTACGTTAATAACCCACGCAAGAAGAGGAAATATATAAATTTAGCACCAATTCGTGGGTGTGTGTGTGGGTGTATGTATTAGTTTGGTTGTGTACTTACGTGTATAAGTGTATGTACCCGTCTGTGGCATCATGGCTCTCAAACGAATCAACCAATTTCGATGCGGTTTCTTTCAATTGAAAGCCAATTTCGGCAACATTTGGTTAATATTGGTCCATTACCTATGATTACTCGATTAAGGTCCTAACGTGCCTTATATCTAAATAAAATACCTTAAATCTTGAATGCCTGAATTATAAAAGTAACTTGATATTCAAATATATCGATTGGGTCCATTGTGTCTTAAATCCACTATAGTCGCAACAGTTATAGTCGGTGTACTTAAAGCCACAAAATGTGGGACCAAATTGGACCAATCAGGATAAAATTTGGTTCCGAAATTACTTCTATAAGAATCATATACATTTGTCATACAAAATAAATTACTAAGTCTAATATACAGGGTGACTGGTGAATTACTATCAATATATTTTAAGGAGCATACTCGGTACATGATTCTCATTCGAATTATGTAAAAAAATAGGTACTTAATTTTTGACCAAATTTCCGTATAAATAAATAAAGTGTGTACACGTTCCAAGTGTTCCAAGTGTGGACGCGTGCGGCGGCGTGCTGATACAACAACACGCCGCCGCGCGCGAGTGTGTGTGTGTGTGTATACCTAATCTGTAGGGTGTTCATACGATGCGTAATTAATTACATAACTTTTGGTTAACTTTACTTAGAAGTTTATTAATATTTATGTTATATTAATTTTTATTTTGTCATATATGATCGTCAAATATCACGTCCTCAAATATCGATAGTAATTCACCAGTCACCCTGTATATGTACATATGAGAGATTTCGAAGAATCTTTTCGTATTGAACTATATTACGTTAAAATTTCATTAAAATGAATTCAGTGATTTTGGTACATAAGGTCACCACACATTTATAGTAAGAGACAATTTAATAAATAACCTATGTACATCCTAATGAGATTTAAAACTTTCGCGAGTATTCATTTATATATACATGTTATCTTGAAGTCGGTTAATAATTTATTATTTTTATAACTTGATCAGAGATTAATAAAATTTGGGTATTTTCTGTTCTTATATAATATTTTAAGTAATATCAATATATTTGACTGATAAATTTTGGTTTTTGATTCACAAAACTATGTTGCGGATGTCCATGGGCGAAGGTACTATCTTCGATCAAGTAGGCCGTCTGTTCGGTTGCTCCCTTTAGCATAAGAAAGACGAATCTTCATCATTCAATGCATTCACGGTGCGTGTGTCGGGTCCATCGTTGTAGTGAGAGGAGCTTCAACAGTGACTGGGACTTGTGACCCAGGTGTAGGTTTAAGGGGTCCCTATATAACGCGCGTTAAATAGTATTAACGTAGTATTGAATGAGAAACGTGAAACTATACGTATGCAGTAACGTGTAACTTGTGGTAAGCATAATGATGATCTACTCTCGTTAAAGATGAAATAAGTAATGATATCTAAGATTTTTGCGTGTATTTAAATTAAACTAAGTTTTGGATAATATTAGTTTTTTATTATTTTATATATACACTAGTTTTCCGCCCGCAGCTTCGCCCGCGTGGGGTTCGTTTACATCGTGTTTCCAAGAGAACCTTTCAAAAGTCTAGGATAAAAACTATCCTGTGTTCTTTCTCAAGGTCAACTCTATCTCTGTACCAAATTTCATTAAAATCAGTTCAGTGGTTTAGGCGTGAAAGTGTAACAGATAGACAGAGTTACTTTTGCTTTTATAAAATTAGTAGGGATGATCCCGACGTTTCGGTTACTAGTCGGCAAATTAATTCATTGATTTTCAAAAAAATCGCAGTATTATGAGATTTTCATTCAACCAATCAACTGATCGACCAACTGATCATCCAACTGATCGCCCAACTGATCGTCCCACTGATCGACCAACTGATCGTCCAACTGATCGACCAACTGATCGTCCAACTGGTCGACCAACTGATCGACCAACTGATCGACCAACTGATCGTCCAACTGATCGTCCAACTGATCGACCAACTGATCGTCCAACTGATCGACCAACTGATCGACCAACTGATCGACCAACTGATCGTCCAACTGGTCGACCAACTGATCGTCCAACTGATCGTCCAACTGGTTGACCAACTGATCGTCCAACTTGTCGTCCAACTGATCGTCCAACTGGTCGACCAACTGATCGTCCAACTGATCGTCCAACTGGTCGTCCAACTGATCGTCCAACTGATCGTCCAACTGATCGACCAACTGATCGTCCAACTGATCGACCAACTGATCGTCCAACTGGTCTATGAATGGTGTATGAATTTTGCTGGAAATTTATGGGGAAGTACCTTTTAACCAGGAGACGGACATAGGATAATGAATTCTGTTCGATCGAAACTGAAAAGAATGGCCTCTAGGGCAGAATAGAGCTCGCCCGGTTAGCTTATATGGATATAACTAATTCCTAAATTAACGCGGACGAAGTTGCATGCAAAAATTAGTACGAAAAAATCTATTTACTATCAAAATTTATTTTCTCAAATAGTTACAACATTCCATTTATATAATGTATCATCAAATGTATTAAACTACACTGTATTTTAATTTTATTAATATATTTGACTAAATGTATATTTCAACTACATAATTAGTTTCATTAGATTACTATTAATGAATTATGGCATGAATGGCTTGCTTAGTATTTAATTGCATCTAATTGCTCAAATTAGTCAAGATTAACTTAGTCTGGAGGTCCAAGATATTCGTCATAGATTTAATAAGCTTTGGGTCAATCTAATATAGGTTTGTAATAATGTAAATTTTCGCTTATAAATAATATGAATATGATTTTATAATAATGGATCTAAATTATTTGTTCTTCAATAGTATTGGGATAACTAATTATTCTTACAAAATTACAAGTGACTTGTTATGAAGAGCTCAAATATATTAAAATGGTATTTGAACAGAACTAATACTTTCGGATACTTTATAAAAACCGTCGTCACGGGCAGACGAGATGTTTTTTTTAATTATGGAGTATTTAGTTTGAAATCGTAAAACGACGAGTAGTACCTAATTCGAAAATATTACTTTTAATTATATGAATACTCGCGAAATTCTTCGATCTCATTAAATACTCTTTGCCCTTATAACTATTTATTGAATTATTTTAAGTAAGTTTGTGGTTAAATGGAATTTTATAACGTAAAGCAAGCCTTAGTCAGTACTTCGTACATGTTATATTTTGTTTAAACTTAACTATTACATTAAGTTGTTGAAACAGTATCTAAATAGGTTTCCCTTACGTTCGCTTGGGTGCGTTTCAATGTTTAGTTTGGATCACCGATCAATCGTTTGATTTCCCGTGAAGGATTCAGTTTGACCAACTGTTGGGTAAATGTTATTTCATACTTGTGCCCACATATACCATACATCCATATAAGATTATAATCACTTTAGAATGTAAAAAGGTGTTTATATATATATATATATATATATATATATATATATATATATTTAAATCTAAATTGATGAGATCTAAGATTTTCGCGGGTATTCATTTAAATGAAACTAATCTTTTTCGACATCTCGTCTGCCCGTGTTCACGGTCGCTGTAAAGTAACTGAAACGTCGGGAGTATGTAGTTTTTGATAAAAATAAAAATCGCGTAATACATACGAAAATTATAAGTTTCATTTGAATCCAAATTACGTTTCTCGACTTAAACAAAACAAAATATGTTGCGGCAAAGTTCTCATAAAGTTCATCAGTTAGCGATTCTAAAATTCAGCACCAAAACCAACGCTATCAAAGTCTTAGTAGAACATAAAAATGTTATTACGCCTTAACCGCCCTTACTGGGATATCCGAAGATTTCGCATCCATTAAATTTTAACGTAAATCCATAAGAAAATTATTGTTCCCTAAAACTTTCCGTCTGACGCGACCGAAATTCGCTCCGGAATTACTATGCTCAGATTATATGACACTTAATGGCCTTGTAATAAAGGTTATAATGGAATGAATATATAGATTACAAAATATATGTCCTAATACGCAAAAGTTTAGGTGTAAATCTGTATAAGTATTATTCTATATGTTTCTATAGAATATTTAATAACTATGTAATCATTTCACCATGTGTGGGTGCTTATAGATCTGTAATTACATCTTCAGTCTAGCTTGAGGATAAATCTTATTGCTTTAAAACAGATTACCAGTTACCATTCAATGTTTTTTTTTGTTATCTATGTAAAAGATTTTTATAAATCTGATGCCGTGTTAAATATAAAAACTAAAATAAATTTTTATTTAATATTAATTCCAGCAAAAAATGTTATGTCTTCTAAAAGTATTTGAGGTTTGAAAAAGTTTGATTTATCTTACGGAATAATTAATATGAAAAGTTCTTTTCATAAAGCGGGATTAGGTAGTTTTTTTTGGTAAATTATGATTTCATAATAAATGAGAATGTCGAATTGAATTTTATCAATGAAATTGCCGAATATTATTAGACAGATATAAACATATATATATATTACATATATGATATCCTTGCGAAGATTCTTTTATATGGACTTCATTAATTTCTCTTCCAGACCTACGTATATTATACAAAGATTATATATATACTTTATTCAATAGTTACCCTCTTATGAATATTCATGAAGAACTAGATTATGTCAAAGGTCATCGTCTTGTAAAATTTTGGACAAAACCGTCCATAAGGGACCATTAGTAAGTAACGATCCCATTAGGTTTTAGATAGAATCAAATAACAAAAAATAAAAATAGTCATCACGAATACATATCAATATCATTTGAATTCGTTAATCCCACAATACTTTCTATAACAAATCTTCAAATCACGGTCGCCTTTTAAGGCTTGATAAAGATATTAAAATGTCTGACAGTCGGTATGCGGGATAAGGGCCATAACACATGATTGGTTTATTGTAGAAAATTTCACTTTGACGTCTACCTTATATTATGATAATAAATAAATTCTAAATTGATGGTATAGTTTAAATGAGAGTGCCACTTGTATTTAATGAATGTAACATACAATGTGTATTTTACAAAGTATATTAAAATATTTGAATATAATACATATTAGAATTCATGGCATTTACTTAAATGACAAGTATCTAATGTCATTAAAATGATAACAAACAAGATAGTACGTTGTGTTCTTCTCCTAACATTGAAATATAACTGTCGGTTTGTTTGTAATGACAGCTGTGTTAGTTAACATGTGATATATATTTTATTTATGCTTATAACACACGTATCAATGAATAATGAATGCAATCTATTAAATGTTACTTTACGATCTTCTAATAAGTGTTTATTACTTAACTACCGTTTAGTTTTGGGTCTTTTAATTTTACTGATGTTTAAAACAAGCACATGAATACCATTGATTATTTCAAACTAAAATGCATTTGGCGTAATTATAGTCCAAAAATGGTAAAAGGTAAATGTTTAAATAGAAATATACGTAACTGTGGTTTAGTTTTAACAATTATATAACTGTCTTACTTCATTAATTATTTCTTAACAATTAAACAATCTTTTTATAAATAGTTATCTTTAAGAAGTTATGGATGTATAAACGATATGTATTTATATCGTCGTATTTATTGTTCTCAGGTTGGATAACAGGGAGGGTGTGACGTCACACTGGTCGGATCCTACTACTCTTGGCTCCAGGGCCACCTTCCGCACCAGCACAACGCCTGCTGTTCTGCTTCTAACAAAACTTAGGTAAATATATACAAGAAGAAACCTCTCATTATTCCATCGATTCACCGTATGAGTGTCGGGTCCATCGTTGTAGTGAGAGAAGCTTCAACAGTGCCTGGTACTTGCGACCCAGGTGTAGGTTTAAGGTATCCCTATCTACCGCGCGTTAAACGCTCACTTCCACTGTCCAAGCTCCTCTCTCTACCTAACCAAATTTGAAAAGAACCTACTAGGGCTGCTTTCGACGTGCGTTCCAAAAATGTATTAATGTGATGAGTGAGTAAAACGATTTGCGAAGAAATGTATACGCTAGTGTGTATTTTTATTCGGTACTGTTATAAATAATTATTATATTATAGCTATGTTATTTTGATTTTGGTTATATGCGTATTTCTAGATATTTTTTACGGTTGTTATACTTATAGAAATTCAAAATTTACGAAAAAATACATTAATAATAGTTAGTTTATTAGGGAATAAACATGATTAATTCTGATAGCATAAAAAAAATTCAATAATATAAATACATATATTGTCTCGTTGACGCTATTTCAGTATTGTAGAAAAAATATGAATTTTTATTAAGTTATTTTTGATATATAAATATTTTATTAATAATAGGTAAGTCAATTATTTTTAAATAGTTAAGAGTGTAACGTCTTTTCTATCGATGTTTAATGAAACTATTAAATTCATTTATAAATTCATTAATAGTATTAAACACTGTAAAATTTAATAAAATATTGCATTTGTAAAGTTACTACAATTTTCCGACTATCTTAAAATTTATTGCATGAGATATATTTAACTCCCACCTATAAACGAATGAGAAATAACAATTACAATCAGAGATAAGACATTAGGAATTAGTTAATACTTTTCCGGTATTTATATGCAAATGTTCCGTAATAGTTAGATATGGTAGATGTATTATGGAATACGGAACGAAACACCGTACTTCGCGTTAATTTATGGAATTAAACGAAAAGTGTGCGGAATGGGCTCTGGCTATGCGTGCCTACTGCCTAGTTTTAAGTTATATTTTATAAATGGTTTTGATAATTCAACACCAGTAGTGTCATATTGAAGCTTTAAAACCATATTTGGAATTTAAAGAGATTAATTAACCTATCTTTATTAAATTTTAGTTTCGGATGTTTGCATAATAAATAAATAGACATAAAAATTACGCATTTTAATATCAGCTATATAGAATTTCTTTAATGTAGTTTTTGTTTACAAAGTAAAATAATACGTTTATTTTGCAACATTTCGTTTGAAGTGCTTTAGTTTGCTTTGAAATGTAATCTGGTCTCACAACGGGATCGGTTCTTGTGTAAACTAAGCCTACAAAAGTAAATTTATATAAACGCCTATAAACCCTTGTACACATGAGTGATATTTATTGTTGTATTATAAAAATAAATTCTTCCTTACATAATGTATACTTAAAAATATTTTATCACATAATGATACGCATACTTTCGATTTACTACGTGATTTTCTGTTTTTGACTATAAACTACATACTCCCGACGTTTCGGCTACTTT